ACGGCAGAGGGCAGTCCAGAGACGTAGGCTGACAGCGCTGCGGGCCCCGTACCGGAATAGAGCCGGCCACAGGCCGTGGCTCAGAGCGGTAACCTACGCTCCGAGCCACCGCTGCACGCACGCTAGACCAGACTGCCACAATCACACATGTGGCTCACTCATTCCAAATACCGACCCCCCCTCACGCACAGTCAGTGTTCAGCGCTCACTCAAGGATTGGCCCAATGCCGTTCAGCGGCACCTTACCAAGGCCCGCGCATGCAGGGGTGGTCGGATGATCGATCTGCAAATTACATGCGCGCCTTGCTTGGTCATGCTCGCGTTGCACTAGCATCCTTCGTACGTTCACGTTAACGACTCCTGGTTCCCTTTTTTCGCCTGATGACCCTGAGTGGATCATTGGCCCACGACGTGGCTAGTCAAAAATCAAAGATATTGATGGTGTCGCCCAAGTGCCCGGATTTGGGGTAGCATTGGCACTTGCTGCACTGCCCGATTCCCCACAAGCTGCCGCACTCCGCATCGTAAGCCCCAGCCGCCCCGCAGTCGTCACGATCCACGCTGCAGTCGCTCGGGTGCCAGCTTGAATCCCTCGAGCACGAGCAGCTGCCTACCTCCGGAGGTATCATGAAGCACGGGCATTCGTCGCTGTCATATGTGCACTCGCACGATTCCTCCGCCGTGGTGAAGCATGAACCGATTCTGTGGGCGATAACGCTGCGTTCTTCGTCAAGCGTCTTACACTTCCAGCAATCCGAGCGGGACCGGCAGTTGATCTTGTCGTCGTCCCACAGCGAGTCGCACTGCGCAGTGCCACCTCCGTAATTATTGGCCAAGACACGGCAGAGATTCTTTGGGCCCGCCTCCACCATCTCGTTGCCGGAACTGCGGCTGCACCCCTCCACGATCGGCCGCGTGGTCCCTGAGCAGATAAGCGGCGGCGTGCCAGGCTTCTCTTGAAATATTGTGTATGAGCCTCCCCCACTCGAGAGCCATGTGCTTGTCGCGTACATTTTCCTCGTCGAAGGGTCGAGGTACATGACGACCGCCTTGACCTGGATTGTGCCAGGCATGCCCGCACACAGTGTCCCCTCACACGTCATGTAGACGCTCTCGCATGGCCGAACATCAATCGGCCCGAATTCGAAGACATTGCTTGCCAGGACCGGGTCCTGCATTTTGTGGGCCCTGTGCAGGAAGGCGTCTTTGAACGGCCTTTGCTTGATGGCAACGTCCCAAACGAGACCGAGAACAAGGCCGCCAATCCCCGAAGGTCCCGGCCTCATGCGGAAGTCCACGTCAAACTGTCTAAGCTCGCTGGTGCCAAACACAGCCGCCTTCCCTGTGCCCCCGTTTGTGATGGTGACCCCCGAACGGACCGCGTCGCCGCACTGGGCGATGCCGCCGTCCGCGTTTTTTGCAACGACCTCGCCGCCGCTGATTGCTCCGCGATTGCCCCAGGAGGGCGAGGTACCCAGATTGCCCCCGGCGGCGAGGTACCCAGTTTGCATTGCAAATGGAGCGAATTGTTCGTCGTCGACGTCGTCAGGCGGACGAGGAGCAAACAGAAGGTCGCGCGCAGTCTCGGTCGCGGTCAGGAACTCTGTCGCGTCGGGCACCACGGGGACGGGGTCGGGCGCAGGGTTGAACGGAGCAGAGAGGGCGCCGCGCGCAGTCTCAGTCTCGGTCGGGAGCGCCGCAGACGATGCAAACGCCGTTCCGTGCACCGTCGGGCTGAACTCGTTCTCTGGCGTGGTGTTGGAGAGGTCGAGAACCTATACACGAGCGCACGGAGAGTGAGGGCGTGCTTGGAGCCACCTCCAGTTCTATTGCTCACCGGGATCGAGGCCGCGTCCGGCACGAACACCGACTCGATGAGATCGGAGACGCCGCCAGAGCCGTACGACGACAGCGCAAAGGCCGAACAGCCGAGACCGATCGCCACGGTGAGGAAGACGCACAGCAGGTTTGACGTCGAGCAGAACTTGCCGAAGCGGAGGCCGGAGCGCGTCGAGGTGAGATTCTTGGTGGTCTTCTTGGAGCGGTCGACCATCACCTACGGGCAGCAAACCGCGGCTTCAGCTCGCGTCGCGACGAGCATCGGCACGGCTGCGCGGGACCCCACGGCGTGCAGCTCGCGAGCGCTAGAACGCCTCCACGACGAGGTGCGGAAGTGCCATGCTGATCCCGCAAGCGATCTCGGGCAATCACGGGCAATCTCACTCGGCTGATTGCTCGGCTGATTACAACGCAATCAAGTGCTGCTGAGAGCGATCTTTGAGGGGGCATGGAGAGAAAGGGGGGCTCATGAGGGCCGCGCCTACTCGCAGCGTTCACAGCTCGAGGTCAGCTAGCTCGCAAGAAGCCGCGGCGGCTCCCCTCGCTCACGTTGTTTTGGATCTGCGGGCGCGCAGGCGACGCTTGCAGCGTCAGCAGCATAAAATGGGATGCGCATGGTCCGGGCTTGCGCGTGGCAAGGGTGGCGAATGGACAGCAGCGGACGCGTCTCGCGGCTCCTCAATGGCAGCGGCGGCACCTGCGAGCGGAAGGGAGCAGGCGGTGCGAGGCCGAGGGGCGCCGTCGGGCGGCGAGCGAGGGCGCATCGCACGGCGGGAGTGGTGCGGGCGGGGCGGGTCCGTGAGCAATAAGCGTCGCGGGGATCAAGCCGTGAGGCTTGCGGCGGCCATCGGTAAAGCGGCGGGGCAAGGGCGAGAGGCAGCGGAAAGTGTGAGGCGAGCCTTGTGGAGTTGTCAGCCTCCGCAGATGTGCAAAGGCCGAAACCCTGGTGAACGCCGTGTAAAAAGAATTTTACTGTGCCTGCCACGACAGTGTGTGTGTGTGTCCGCTTTGAACAGCGCTTCATTCGAATGGCGTTCGCCTCGGACGGCCTGCCGCCGCCGGCGCACAACGCTGCCGCTGCCGAGGGCGCGGCGCGCGGCCGCGACGTCGCGCAAGCGGCCGATGATGGCCAGAGACCAGGCCGCGTAGCACCTCGTAGAACGGCGTCCCCAAGGCCGCGTAGCACCTCGTAGAACGGCGTCCCCAAGGCCGCGTAGCACCTCGTACAACGGCGTCCCCAAGGCCGCGTAGCACCTACGACAGCCTCCCGTCGCGCGTCGACCAATCGCGAGTCACAGCACAGGGGGCGCCCCGTCGTCCGGCGCACAGGAAGGCGCCCGCGCCCAGCAGCGGCTCCCCCCCTCCCACGCCCTGCCCGCCTTCCTGGCTCGCGCGCAGGCTGCTCTGCCACCAGTCGCTGCTCTACCCAAACGAGGCGCACCCGCTGCCGCGCACCCCCGGCGGGCTCCAGTCACCCACGGCGGTTGCGGTGCTCCCCGGGGGCGAGCTCGCAGTCACGGACACGGTGGGGCGCTCGCACATGTTCACCCCCCCCCACCACCACATACACACACACACACACACACACACACACACACACACACACACACACACACACACACACACACACACACACACACACACACACACACGCACACGCACACGTACACGCGCACACACACACCCACACACACACAAGCACACACGCACACACACACACACACACACACACACACACACACACACACACACACACACACACACACGCACACACACGCGCGCACACCCCCCCCCCACACAAGCACACACACACACACACACACACAAGCACACTTGAAGATACGGGTCTTCGCCTCCTCACTGCGCCCCTGCCTGTCCTGACCCTGACCCTACACCCTGACCTCCTCCCGGCTCATTGCGCCGCCCGTAGGGAAACGACCTCCTGCGCTTCATCGACGCCGCGAGCGGCGCGACGAGGCTCGTCGTCGGGCGCAGGCGCGCCTTTCTGTCCTCGAAGCTGCCGCCCGCGTCGCCTCATGTGGAGGCTGAGCTCGAGTCGCCGATGGGCGTCGTCGCCGACGTTCGCGGCGAGCACGTCTTTGTCGCCGACACGCTGGGGCTCGTCAGCTCTAGAAGCGGGACGACGTGTTCATGTCCCCCAGCCAGCGCCCGAGAGGGTGTACGTATCCAGCTGGACACCGCTCTGACAGCGCTCACAGCTGTCTTCACCCGTACTTCTCCGCTGATTCACTGTATTCCTCTCCCTCTCCCTCTCCCTCCACCCCTCCACCCCTCCGCCCCTCCCTATGTGTTTCTTTCGGGCTAACGCATCTTGTTTTGCAGTTTCTTTGCCGTACTATTCACTTTGAAAAATCGACCCCCGGGACCCCGACCGACCTATCAAGTGATCCGGCCCGCTGTGGGCCACACGTGTGGGGGTGCGGGTTGTTGTGCGAGTATATGGCTTATGGGCCACGATGTCTCAAATATGAGGGGTTTTGACTCCTACCGGCCCCTGACGCTATCCCTGGCAGCTCTAATGACCAGGATCAGTAGTGTTGTGATAGAGGGTGCCCATACTAGCGCAGGAGCTGCCACACTCGCCCGGACCGTCCCCTTCTGGGGCCGGTTCCGCAGCCCGCGAGAGCCGACAGCGGGGGGCCGTGCCGCGGGTGCCTACTGCCGAGTGCCACAAACACTGCACCGTCCCGCCATCACCTACAGGCTGTCTTGTGTGATGGTTGGGATGTCCAAACGCCACCATCTTGGCTCTTGCGACCTCAAACCCGCGAGCTGTATGGGTGGTCCTGACGTCGACAGACGCCCGATGACCACGGTGAAGCTGAGCCGGAACGAGTCGACAAGTCTCGTCTGAGCCCGTGGCGGTCGCCGGCTGAGTCGCTGTGCACGGGCCGGTACCTCAGGCGTCACCTCCGCAGCCTCAGGTCTCAAACTCCATCACCTCCGACGGGACGCCTTCGGTGGCACGCTCGGCGGCGTACTTTCTGCAGCTCCATCTCGAGTACGGCGTCGAGTCTACTCACTCCTGTTGGATCTGTGCACTCCCTTGGTCCAGGGAGTGCACAGATCCAGCAAGCAGTGCGTCCCGGCAGCGCGCGCAGGCTGTGGGGCTGCAACAAACTCGAGACACGCTTTTTGGGACATTTCGACGCTTTTTTGATACTCGCACAACAACCCGTGCGCTTCTTAGCTCCCCGGCCGGCCCTAGCTCTCCTGAACTCCTCTGTGGACTGTGCGTGACTGTCATCTCGCCCGGTCATCTGCGTCCACCATAAAGGATAAAGCAATCAGCCGTGGATTCTGGATCTAGGGAGATGTGGTGTGTGGCAAAAAAACCAACGGTCAGGCGCCCCCGCGCTCGCAACCCCCGCGACTCGGCCCGCAGCTAGCCCCGCGGCGTCGCCGTCCCGGCGCTAGCCGGCGAGGCAGCCATCCAGCGCCTCGCAGATCGCACCCTCGTCGAGGTTTGCGCCGATGAAGACGATCTCCTGCCGCCGGTCGCCGCCCTTGCCCTCAAAATCCTCGAGGATGGACGCAAGATGCGCCTGCGGCCACTGCTCGCGCGGGACCGAGTCCCACCAGCGGCCCATCTCCTTGAGGTCCAGCCGCTTCCCGGCCTGCGACCAGAAGTACGCGACGCCGTCCTCGCCCGCAAGCCACACGAAGCCTTTGGAGCGGAGCAGCGGGTCGAAGAGCGCCATGTTGCCGCCGTCGCCGTCGCCTCCCCCCCCGCCACTCGCCGGCGCCACGGCGGCGTCTTGGGCGCCCTGTCGCAGCGGAGCGGCGACCGTGGCGAGGAAAGGAAGGTCGGAGACGAGGCGCGCGAGCTTGGCTGGGTCGAACGGCGAACGGCGCGCGTAGACAAAGGTGCGGATGCCGAAGCGCTGTGCGGCCGTCGTCTCCTCGCGGGACCCGCCGTGGCTGTGGCCGTGGCCGTGGCTATGGTCGTGCGACGGGTCGGTGCAGCCCGGGTCGGCGCAGTCGGCGGCGTGGCTGTGCTCGTGCGACTCGGCGTGATCGTGCGCCTCGGCGTGGCTGTGATCGTGCGCCTCGGCGTGGCTGTGCTCCTGCGCCTCGGCGTGATCGTGCGACTCGGCGTGCTCGTGCGCCTCGGCGTGGCTGTGCTCGTGCGCCTCGGCGTGGCTGTGCTCGTGCGCCTCGGCGTGGCTGTGCTCGTGCCCATCCTCGGCGGGCGCGGCGGGCGCGGCGGCGGGCGGGGGCTGCGACGCGAGCCACTTTGCCCAGTCGATGGACGACTTGTGGTCCATGACGTCGTTGGAGGTCGCCACGCCGGCCGCGCGGGAGGGGACGAGGATGGAGGCGAGGGGCACCGCGCCGTACTCTGCGCGGTGCACCGCGGCGAACCCGTTGAGCGAGCCGACGACCTGCTGCAGCTGCTCGAGCTCCGCGGCGTCGGCGGTGTCGGCCTTGTTGATGACGACGACGTCGGCCGTCTCGACCTGCTCCACCAGCAGCTGCACCACGCCAGTCTTGCGCGCCTCCACCAGCTCCGCGTCCGCCTCGGCCGCCCCGAGGTCTGGCCGCGAGCTGAGCAGGTCGGAGGACCCGTACTCTCTCATGAAGGACGCCGCGTCCACAACTGTGACCATGTTCTCGAGCTTGATGCAGCGCATGATTGGCCAGTTGAGCGCGGCCGCCTCCTGGAACATGGCCCGCAGCAACTTTGGCTCGGCGACGCCGGACGACTCCACGACGATGTGCTCGTACGGCGCCCCGCGCGTGAAGGAGAGCGAGACGAGCTCGGACAGCGAGGCGAGCAAGTCGTCGCCGGCGGAGCAGCAGGCACAGCCGTTCGACAGCTCCAGCATGTCGTCGCCCCACCGGCTCAGCGCTCCTTGGCCGTCCGAGCCCTGGCCGTCCGAGCCGCCGCCGTCCGAAGCGCCGTCGGCCGCGGTGCCACCGCGCGCCACGAGCTTTGCGTCAATGTTGACGGCGGCGACGTCGTTGACGATGACTCCGACGCGTGCGCCCTCCTTGTTGCTCAGCACGTGCGAGAGCAGCGTCGTCTTGCCCGCGCCGAGGAAGCCAGACAGGATCGTCAGAGGGATGGGCGAGAGCTCGGCCTCAGGCTCGTCCCGGCCGCCGCCGTCGCCCACGCCGCTCGCACCGCCGCCACCGCCGCGGAGCACTGCCGGCCGGCCGCGGAGCGCTGCGTTGGGCACGGTGAGCGCCGGCGCGATGGCGAGGATGGCGAGCCACGTCATGCGTGTGCAAACTTATGCGCCAGCAGACACAGTGGACACACCCAGGGCGACGTGTGCCGCGCAGCCAGCCAGCGATGTGCAGCGCCTCAGCACCCTCGCAACATGGTTTTTTCTTCTTCTTTTTGAGTGCGGCCGCAGTTTTTTCTCTTTTTCTGAAGCCTGAGTCAACCCTCGCTATCGCAGCCGCGATGCGGCCCTTCTTGCTGCTCCTCGTCGCCACCGCATCTGCATACCGCGCTGCGCTCTCTCCGCGCCAAGCGTCCACGGTCTCTGGCTGCGCTGCGCCCGCCTGTGCCGCGCCCGCTGTACTGCCGACGGCGCGTTGCCACCTGCTCCTGCGCGGCGGCGGCGGCGGCTCTCCGCTTCTGGTCCGGCTCGTCGAGCGCCTCGCCTCCACCATCGAGACGGCGCTGCCAGCGAGCACCATCCTCGCGATCGCCATCGCCCTGGAGATTGGCGCGACTACCTGCATGAAGTTAGCCGCGCTCGGCTCGGGCCGCTGGCTCGTCGGCGTCGGGCTCGGCTACACGCTCTGCTTCTCCATCTTCCCGCTCGCCCTCAAACGCCTGCCCCTCTCTCTGGCCTATGCAGTGTGGTCTGGCGTCGGCACCGCCGCCGCGGCCATCATCGGCAACGCCTGCTTCGGCGAGGTGCTTGGGCGCAGGCAGGTGGCCTCGATCGGCCTCATCGTGGCCGGAGTGGTGGGGCTCAACACGTAGAGATCTAGCGGCCGTCACTCGCCGCACGGCAAGGAGGGTTAGGCTTGCAGCCGACCTTCGGAACTTCCTGGCCTAATCGGGCCTTCGAGCTTCGGCTTGGTCCCTGCCGAGGTCTTGGAGCACTTGGAGCACTTGGAGTGGTCGATTTTTATCACTTCCTCTCCACGCCGCGCCAAAACACCTTTTTTTCACTCCTGTTGCCACGCGCGACACGGATCATGACCTCCATCGGCACCCACAGCGGCGCGTTCCAGGCCGACGAGGCGCTGGGCGTCTGGCTGCTCCGCAGGCTGCCGCAGTACAAGAGCGCGTCGCTCACCCGCTCTCGCGACCCGGACGTGCTCAAGCCGCTCACCATCGTGATCGACGTCGCCGGGCTGTACGACCACGATCAGCTGCGCTACGACCACCACCAGCGCGGCTTCTTCGAGACCTTCGACGGCGAGAACAAGGCCGCCAGGGACGGCGGCCGGCCCGACGTCACCGGCCCAGATTCCGCGACGGGCGTCTTCAAGACCAAGCTCTCGGCGTCGGGGCTCGTGTACAAGCACTACGGCCGCGAGATCCTGTGCGCGCTGCATCCCACCCTCCGCAGCAGCCCGGACGCGCTCGAGTGGGTCTACACCAAGATGTACCGCGACTTTATGGAGGGGCTCGACGCCAACGACAACGGGATCGAGATTGCGGACCAGGTGAGGTACAAGGACGGCACCTCGCTGCCGATGCGCGTCGCCAGGCTCAACTCCAGGTGGAACGAGCCGGCTGGCTCTGGCCCGACGGAGACGGAGCGCTTCGAGCAGGCCTCTGCGCTGTGCGGCTCCGAGTTTGGCGCGGCGCTCGAGTACATTGTCGAGTGCGAGCTGCCGGCGCGGTCGCTCGTCGAGGAGGCGCGCGCCGCGCTAGAAGACCGCCGGCGCCCCATCGCCCCTTCCCCACGTGCGCCTCGGCGCCGGGTGCCCGCCTCGCGCCGCGCCCAGCCCATGCCCATCCCACCCACCCCACCCCGCCCGCCTCTCGCGGAGCAGGCGCTGCAGGCGCGGCACTCGGTCCACCCCTGCGGCGAGGTGCTCTGCCTCAGCTCGGGCGGCTGCCCGTGGAAGACGCACCTGTACGAGCTCGAGCGCTCGCTCGGCGTCGAGCCGCTGGTCAAGTTTGTGCTCTACCCTGACACGGCGGGCATGTGGCGCGTGCAGGCGGTGACGGTCGAGGGCACCGCCTTCACCAACCGGCTCGGCCTGCTCGAGCCGTGGCGGGGTGTGCGGGACGCGGAGCTGGCTGCGAAGTGCGGCATCCCGGGCGCAAAGTTTGTGCACGCGTCCGGCTTCATCGGCGGGCACGAGACGAACGAAGGGGCGCTGCAAATGGCGCTCAAAACGATCGAGTCCTCCC